TGGGCAAAAGAGAAACCAGATGTCCAAGATCCATGTTTATTTACCATCATAATTAATTAAAGAAATATATAATGATTCCTACAGAAAGGGAAGGAAGAATGGAGGGTAGATGGATAGACAGATAATGCTGGTAAAGATATACAAGAAATGTGTATTCTGTCATACTTTTAGTCAAATTTGATATTAAAGTTTGATGTTAGTCAAAATTTAAGAACTAAATTTGGCAATATTTATGAAAAGACTTTAAGAAATGTTCATATGCTTTGATTCAGTGATTGTAAGACAGACTAGATCCTAAAGACACAACGACAAATACACAGAAGTAGCTCTTAATGATATTTATCACACATTGTAAGAAGAAAAAAATAATAAACGTAAGTTACACCCAACAGATAACTAGTTAGGTTATAGTACTTTTATAAGAAGGAACTGTCCCTGGGGGTAACCACTGGTCATATGTCTACTGAGCATTTGAAATGTGGCTAGTCTGGGTCGGACATGGTGGCTCATGACTGTAATCCCAGCACTTTGGGAGGCCAAGGCAGGCGGATCACTTGAGACCAGGAAAAGACCAGCCTGGCCAACATGGTGATAACGCGGTATCTACTAAAATTATAAAAATTTAGGCAAGGCGCGGTGGCTCATGCCTGTAATTCTAGAATTTTGGGAGGCCAAGGCAGATGGATCACCTGAGGTCAAGAGTTTGAGACCAATCTGGCCAACATAGTGAAACCCCCTCTCTACGAAAAACACAAAAATTAGCTGGGTGTGGTGGCATGCACCTGTAGTTCCAGCTATTGGGGGGAGGCTAAGGCAGGAGAATCGCTTGAACCCAGGAGGCAAAGGTTGCAGTGAGCCAAGATTGCACCACTGCACTCTAGCCTGTATACCAGAATAAGAATCCGTCTCAAAAAAAAAAAAAAATAGCCGGGCGTGGTTGTGCACACCTGTAGTCCCAGCTACTCAGGAGGCTGAGGAACAAGAATCACTTGAACCTAGGAGGCGGAGGTTGCAGTGAGCTGAGATCGCACCATTGCACTCCAGCCTGGGAGACAGCGCAAGACTCTGTCTCAAAAAAATAAAAATAAAAAAAAAAGAAATGTAGCTAGTACAAATTGAGATATACTTTAAGTGGAAAATACACAACAAATTATAAACACAGTCTAAAAAAGAAAATTATCCCATCAGCAATTTCTTACAGTGATTACATGTTGAATTCATAGTTTTTGGGTTAAACAAAATGTATTTCACCTGTTCCTCTTCTTTTCGAAATGTGGCTACCAGAAAATTTTAAATTACTTAATGTAGCTCCCCTTCGTGACTTAGTGGACTTTGCTGGTCCCGAGGTATACAAACCACAGTAAGAGGTTTCAATTTTATTTGGTATATTGCAAAGCTACTGGGGAGTTTTGAGTCAGAGAATAAGATATTCTAATTTACACATTTAAATGAAACAGAAGAGTAGAAACGTTGAAGCAATGGTACCAGTTAGATGACCTCTATTACCATCTTATATAAAACAAGATGGTGAGGCAGATTACATTTCGGTAATTTCTTAAGAAAGAGCCAGCCTGAGAGTGTTTAGAATTGGCTCTTAATAGGCTAGGCATGAGCGCCGGCCCATAATCCCAGCACTTTGGGATGCCAAGGCGGGCGGATCACAAGGTCAGGAGATCGAGACCATACTGGCTAACATGGTGAAACCCCATCCCTACTAAAAATACAAAAAATTAGCCAGGCGTGGTGGCAGGCGCCTGTAGTCCCAGCTACTCAGGAGGCTGAGGCAGGAGAATGGCGTGAACCCGGGAGGCAGAGCTTGCAGTGAGCTGAGATCGCGCCACTACACTCCAGCCCGGGTGACAGAGCAAGACTCTCTCTCCAAAAAAAAAAAAAAAAAAAAAAAAATGACTCTTAATAGTTTAGGATATTAAGAAAACACACACAAAGACCAAGGATATACCTGACAAAACGTTAACAATAGTTATCTATGATGGTGTTACAGGTGGCTTTTCTTAGTAACTTTCTATTCTTAAAGTTTGAGGGGGAAAATCCCATATACACATTGTCCTTACAATCAAATAAAAAATGAGGTTTTTAAAAGCAAAATACAGCCCTACCAAAACAAAGCATCCTGATATTTGTCTGCAAGCTACATATAGAAAAAATGAAACCATCTCTACTCCCATGCCTTCAAAAAGGTTATTCAACGCTCCATGTAAATTCACACTTACACACATGAATGAAACATGAAACACACACAAACACACCTATCTTCAGGATATTAAGGAGATACTATTCCCTAATTTATCACTGTGTCTCTGTAGCATAATGAAACAGATACTTGGGAAGCACACCTTGTGGGCATTCTGTAATCTAAAAGGTATTTAAATATGGAGTTAAGAAATCCTGAAACATCGCACAACTTTTTCAAAAATATTCCAAAGGATATAAAACGTAATTCCACAGAATAACACCTTGGTCCTAATGCTTTCCCTTAAAGGGTGTGTGCCATTTGACAGGTGTTTTCCTTAACTAAAGTCTGTGCAAAACTGGAAGAAAAAGCTTAGGACAAGTTTCTTCCACATGAGTATGCTAAGGCACAAGAGAAATTTTTAAGTAATTTGCTAGAGATTAGAGGGGAGGAGAGGAACAGCAGAAAGGGTGATTTATTTTAAATACAATCCAGCGTTTTTTCTACTATACTTATTATTTTTGCATTGAACAGGAGATACCAAACAGTGCCAGACTTTTTACAATGTGACTTCAAAGTAAGAGGATCATTACACATAGGTTAACAGGAATTTTGGGTTTTCATGCAAATGTTCAACTAGGTTGAACTAGTTCAATCACTATGGCTATGAATCTTCTATTTAAACATAACAGAGAATCCTAACGTTTTTCATTCATTTTATTTCTAAGTTATTCAATCTATTCTAGTCCTGATTACCTAATACCTTCTAATGCAATCCACATTAAGTATTTACTCTAGAGAAATTATTGTACATGTGTACCAAGAGCCGGAAACAAGAAATGTTCATAGAGCAAGACTGTTTATAGCAAAACAAAATAAAAAACAACAAAAACACGGTCTAAGTGCCCATGAGTTACGGCAGATTAACATGTCACAAAGCAATGAAATAAACTACAGCCACATACTATTTTTTACAAAGCTCAAAAGAAAAGCAAATTAAATGCCACACTGTTTCGACATACAAACATATATGATAAAACTATTTTTCAAAAAGTCAAGTAAGTGACATACACAAAATCCACTGCACAGATAAACTCATAGACAAATGCAAGTTTTACTAATGTTCCAGTTTTGGGTTTGGGAGGAGGAGTCACGGATTTATGACGTTTTATCTGTTTATACTTTACTGTATTTTTTTGTGGTATTAAATATATTTTGGTTACTTCTTATAAACTTCACTGACATACAGTTGACAATAAACTGCACATATTTGAAGTGTAAAACGTGTAAGTTCTGACATATGCATACACCCAGAAAGTTATCACTACAAGATAATAAATCCATCGACCCCCGTATTTTCTCCTGCACATTGGTGATCTCTGTCTCTGTTTAAATATACTTTAAAACTTACAAAAGTAAAAACAAAAAAGACAACCTGTTTTGGAAACTTAAACGTGCACATTTTGCAAAACATTTCCCCTAGGGCTCTGGAGAAACTATACCTAAATTCAGAAAGTGCCTTAAACTTGGTGACATAGTTACTGAACAACTAACCTTAAAAGTTTATGGTATTTTACACTTTTAAAAAATCAAATTCCGACTTTGGTTTGAAAGAGGAATTTAATCCTGTTTCTTGGAGCATCAAAATCATTAATTCTGCCCAGTTTTGTTTTTTTGTTTTGTTTTTTGAGACAGAGTCTCCCTCTGTCGCCAGGCTGGAGTGCAGTAGCGCGATCTGGGCTCACTGCAACCTCCGCCCCCCGGGTTCAAGCGATGCTCCTGCCTCAGCCTCCCAGTAGCTGGGACTACAGGCAAGCACAACCACGTCCAGCTAATTTTTGCATTTTTAGTAGAGACGGGGTTTCACCATGTTGGCCAGGATGGTCTCGATCTCCTGACCTCGTTATTAGCCCGCGTCGGCCTCCCAAAGTGCTGGGATTACAGGCGTTGAGTTACCGCGCGCGGTCAATTCTGCCAAGTTTTTATGGCCCAACAACTTAATACAAATTACCTTTAGGTAACCCCAAGGCCCTAACTTCCTCACAACTGGTCACAACTTCCGAGTTGTGAAGGTAAATCATAGCGTCCCAACTGTGTGGGTTAGCACATGACTTCGAAACCAAGTTAAAAAGATTTCAAACACAATATTCTTTCGTACTTCTTTAGATGGCTAAAACTTGAAAATAACTATTTCAAAAGAGCAGACGAAAAATTTAGAATCCTAAGCAAGCTAAACCCAAGCACGGAAAAAAGAGACCGATTCCCTTCCCGGTGCCAGTCAGGAGTTGGAAACACCGGGCTGCCTCCGGCTGGTTTCTGAAAACACGGCAGGTGGAAAAACATCCCGAAGAAGACCTGAGACTGGGGGGGGGAGGGGGAGTTGACGCGCCCCGGGGTGCCCAGGGCCCTTCCGACCCCCGCCCGCCAACCGCTCCGAACCCGCTCGGGGCGGCGCGCGTCGCGGCCTCCGCGGCCCTGAAGAACTGAGGCTCCCGACCCCAGCGCGACCACCCTGACAGGAAGCGGCCCCGGGCTGCGGGCGCCCGCGCGCGTCTGAGGTGAACCCGCCGATCCCCGGCCCCCGCCCCCGGAGCCGGGAGTCCTAGCCCTCTCGGCCGCGGCCCCCGCGGGCCCACCACCTGCTGCGCCGGCCAGCCGCCCTCCGCTTCCGGCTCCCGGGAGCCGGGAGGGGCCGGGGGCGGGCCTCGCCTCGCTGCAGCCGGGTGGGGGAAGGGAGCGGGCGGGGGAAGGGAGCGGGCGGGGGAGGGGCAGCGCGGACCAGACCGGGCCCCCGGGCCGCGCTATTCACCTGGCGGCGGCTCTCTCCGCCTGACGCGCTGCCCGCCGCCGCCGGTAGCCGCTGGTGAACCGGGACAGGTAAGGCCGCCGAACCCCTGCTTGCTCTGGCTCCGCCACCGCCAGCCCCTCCGTCTGCTGTTTATTAAACTTTTCTGTTTGGTTGTTCGGCCTATGACGCGACCGCGGAGGAGAGCCACTGGATTGGCCGGCTCCCAGGGCTGACGCGGCGGGCCCCGCCCGCATCCTAATTATTACCGGCGCGGGCGGGGCCACAGGCCGGAGGAGGCGGGGAGAGGCGGGGTCAAGGCTCGGAGCGCACGGCAATTGGCCGGAGGCGAGAGAAGAGGCGGGGCGGAGCGAAAGGAGATGCTCCTCCGCCCTCTGCACCTCCACCTTCGCTTGCTCCGCTGCGGTCTCTGGGGGGCTCATCCCGCCGCAGTTTCTCTACCTCCAATAGCTACGGGAAGGCGATTAAGAGGTGCCGCGGGGTCTTTAAGGGCTTGATAGGTTCAGGTACCTTTGCTATCTCGCAGGGAATGGCGTGTCCCTGTCTCGGATTGAGGCACCAGAGAGTTGCCCTCCACCTGCCACTTGTGCAGGAAGGAATTCTGAGCTTCTGTCTTCACACGCAGGCCGGCGCCTCAGTCTGCAAGCGCGAAGTCCGAGCTCAGGGCGCATACTGGAAAGCAGTACTCTGCCCTGTCCTGAACTGGGACTTGGAAATAGAAGCAAGACGAGAAGCGTGCATGCACACGTGTGCAATACATACATGCACGGGCACAGGCACCCTCAGTTCAGCCTTTTCCAAAAGCATGGGGTCAGTTCCCACCTGCGTGGTGCATGCTGCGCTACTACGCTGGAACTAGGGATGATGGGCAGAATGGCTCCCCCTGAAGTTTTTCAGCCTTCGTTCGGGCTCAAGAGCATCACAAGCAGGAAGTACGTGACACTTTAGTTCGAGGTCATTCAATCCTATCGTGAATGAGGGGTTCCGTTGGGGCTTTCAGGTAGGCGGTCCCAGTCCTGAGGATCCTCTTTGTTTTAAATGTTTTTATTTTGTTATTCATGGATTTTTTTTGCATTAATTTTAATTTTAAAAAATTAAAATGTTGTTCATCTTGATCACCTAGTTTTTTGGTGCTCCCTTAAATATTGTACCTGAAGTGAGTACCTGTTGCGTTTAGCAACACAGAAGTCACCTGGGGGAGTACAGTTTAAGTGGAGGACAAAAGCCTGATTGGAATGGTAATAAAACCTACTTATTAGGATATTTGTGGGAGTTAACTAAGATAGAATGTGTGAAAGAGCTTCTTGAACTAGCGAGGTTATGCACCAAGTCTTATGGATTTTGTCTTAAATGTATTTTTCTTCAGATGCTTGTCCAGTTTATCATTGTATTAACTCCAGCACCTAACCCAGTTGGATTTTCATATACAGTTATTATGAATTTGCACAAATTGGGTTTACATGACCTTTACTGCTTTCCTTTGTTCCAGATTCGTTCTGGGAGATTGAGAGATTATAGCATTGCATTGTGACTTGGAATGCAGACAGACCACTGTCACTTACTAGCTTTGTGGTCTTAAGAAAATCGTGTGAAATGGGAACAAAAACCTACCACAAAGGATTGTTATGAGGGTTAAAAGATACTGCATTTCTATACACCCAGTAAATGCTGTATGCCACCTCTCTGCCAGCCTGTGCTGTAGGTGCTGGAGATAGCATTAGGTAAGAGAGATGAAGGCCCTCCTCTCATTGACTTACACGGGGGAAGAAGGAGCAGAAACAATAAACAGTATACATATGCAACCTACCAGGCAGTGTACGTAAACAACATATTCACAGCACCTGGTATGTAACAAATGCGCAATAAATGATTGTTTATTTGCATTATTATTTCCAGCCCCATCTTCTTTCCTGTATTCCAGAGCAGGACATTTACTGTGTGCTTATCACAGCCACTCAATATGTCCAAGGCTCATTTTCCCCCCAAACACATTCTTCCTCCTATAGTCCCAATTTTGGCTAATGGTGACACCATGTTTCCAGTTATTAAAACTAGAAACTCAAGCTTTATTGAGATTTAACACACGTATCATTACAACTCACCCATTTTTAAAGAATACAATTTGCTGGGCGCAGTGACACATGCCAGTGGTCCCAGCTACTCAGGAGGGTTAGGTGGGGGAATTGATTGAGTCCAGGAATTCTGGGCAGTAATGCACTGTACCCATGGGTGTCCATGAGGATGGGGGGGGACCGTCAAGTTGCCTAAGAAAGAGGACTTTGCCCAAGTCCAAAACAGAGCAGATCAAAACTCCTGTGCTGATTAGTAATGGGATCATGGCCATTGCACTCCAGCCTGGGAAACATAGCAAGACTCTGTCTCCTATTAAAGAAAAAACAAAAAGAAAAATAAAAGAAATAATACAATTCAGTGGTTTTTAGTATATTCACAGTGGTGCAGTTATCACCACAAATCAGTTTCAGAACATTTTGTCACCCTAAAAAGAAACCTTGGCAGGGTGCAGTGGCTCATGCCTGTAATACCAGCATTTTAGGAGGCCAAGGCAGGTGGATCACTTGAGGTCAGGTGTTAGAGACCAGCCTGGTCAATACAGTGAAACCCTGTCTCTACTAAAAATACAAAAATTAGCCAACCTTGCTGGTGCACACCTGTAGTGGTACACACCTACTTGATGGTGCACATCTGTAGGTGCTTGGGAGACTGAGGCAGGAGAATCACTTGAACCCGGCAGGCAGAGGTGGCAGTGAGCCAAGATCACGCCACTGCACTCCAGCCTAGGTGACAGAGCAAGACTCCATCTCAAAAAAAAAAAAAAAAAAGAAAAAAAAGGAAAGAAAGAAAAAAAGGAAAAACAAAACAAAAAAACAACCTTGTACCTTTTAGCAGTCACATTCCCCTTTCCCCCAATTCATGTCCCACCTCCACCCCTGGGTAACCATTAAGCTACTGTGTGTCCCTTTAGTTTTGCAAGTGATCCTTTGGCCTCAACCTCCTGAGTAGCTGGGTCTACAGGCGCAAACTACCATGCCTGGCTAGTTTTGCCTATTTTGGACATTTCATAAATACGTAGTCATCTAATATGTGGTCTTTTGAGACTGGCTACTTTCACTTAGCATAAGGTTTTCAAAGTTCATCGTGTTGTAGTATGTATCAGCACTTTATTTCCTTTTATTGCTGAATAATATTTCACTGTATTGATATTTAATATAGCACATTTATTCATTAATTTATTCATATAGACATTTTCCACTTTTTGCCCATTATGTGACTAGTGCTCCTATTAATATTTTTATCCAAGTTCTTATAGGGACTTTTTTTTTTTTTTAACAGATGAGGTCTCACTCTGTCACCCTGGTGAGGGTGTGGTAGCATGAACATAAGCTTACTGACACCTCAACTACTGGACTCAAACAATCCTCCCACCTCAGCCTCCCAAGTAGCTGGGACTACAGGTATGCACCACCATGCCCAGCTAATTTTTTTTTTATTTTTTGTAGAGATGGGGTTTCACTATGTTGCCCAGACTGGTCTCAAACTCTTGGGCTTAAGAAGTCCTCCCAGCTTGGCCTCTCGAAGTGCTGAGATTACAGGTGTGCTGTGTCCAGCTTGTTTTTATTTGTCTTGGGTATCTACCTAGGAGTAGGTAGACACTGCGTCATATGGTAACTCTGTTTAACCATCTGTGGAACTACCAGACTGTTTTCCATAGAGACTACACCATTTTACGTAACCACCAGCAATGAGTGAGGGTTTCAATTTCTCCACATCTTTGCCAACAGTTGTCATAATCAATCTTCTTGATGATAACCACCCTAGTGAGTATGAAGTGGTGTATCACTGTGGTTTTGCTTGGCATTTCTCTGATGGCTAACGATGTTGAGCATCTTTTCATGTGTTTATTGGCCATTCGGGTATCTTCTTTGAAAACATGTCTATTCAGATCTTTGCCCATTTTTTCATTGGGTTGTTTGTCTTTTTATTGTTGGTCATAAGAGTTCTTACATATTCTGGCTACAAGTCCCTTTTCAGATATATAATTTGCAAATATTTTCTCCCATTTTGCACATTGTCTTTTCACTTGCTTGATGATATCATTGGAAGTATAAAAGTTCTTTAATTTTTGCTCATTTTTTTTCTGTTTTTCTTTTTCTTTTTTTCTTTTTCTTTTTTTTTTTTTTTTGTGATGGAGTCTCACTCTGTCGCCAGGCTGGAGTGCAGTGGTATAATCCTGGCTCACTGCAACCTCCGCCTACTGGGTTCAGGTGATTCTCCTGCCTCAGCCTCCCAAGTAGCTGGGACTACAGGCGTGCGCCACCACACTCAGCTAATTTTTGTATTTTTAGTACAGACGGGACTTCACCGTGTTGGCCAGGCTGGTCTCGATCTCTTGACCTCATGATCCACTCGTCTCAGCCTCCCAAAGTGCTGGGATTACAGGCATGAGCCACAGCGGCTGGCCTCATTTTTTTTCTTAAGCCCTCCTCTCCCCAATATCCAATTCATCATGAATTTCACTGATTCTGCCTTAGAAATATATTTGGAATGCACCCCCACCACCATTGCCCTATACAACCCTCTTGTTATTTCTCACCTGAATTTAAGTAATAGCCTCCAATTCTATTCTTTTTTCTGCATCCCCCCACATCCTACCCAATTTATCTTCCAACTGCTTCCAGAAGGATCTTCCTGAAACACAAAATGAGCAGGTCAGACCTCTTTTGGTTCCTGGTCTGTACTGTAGCAGTTCTCACATTCCTCTGATAAGAATACCTTGAGCATTTAAAAAATTCACATTACAGGTCATAATCTGGACATGATAAATAAGAATCCCTAGGGGAGGAGTCTGGAAATCTAGTTTTAATAACCCCCCAGGTGATTCTTATTCTCAGAATGGTTTAGCCTATGGTTCTAAAGGAGGGGTGCGATTTTGTCCCCCAGAGGACATTTGGCAATGTCTGGAGATATTTTTGGTTGTCACAACTGGATGGAGCTGTCACTGTCATCTAGTGGCAGCAGGAATGCTGCTAAGCATCCTGTAATGCACAGGGCAGCCCCCCTCAACAAAGAATTACCAGCCTCAGCCGGGCGCGGTGGCTCACGCCTGTAATCCCAGCACCTTGGGAGGCTGAGGTGGGTGAATCATGAGGTCAGGAGATTGAGATCATCCTGGCTAACACTGTAAAACCCCGTCTCTACTAAAAATACAGGCGTGGTGGCGGGCGCCT